CTAACTTACCACGATTCTTAAAAAAATAAAACAAGAAAGAAATCCTTTAGCTGTACTAAACCATTTCAGCTTTTTCCTTGAACACACAGCAAGAATTTATGCTACACTCACAAAAAGATGAAAGATGAGGTCCTTGGAGAGAAAGGCCTTTTGGCACACTACATGGTAAAGCTACAGATTTGACATACTTTTATAATGTCTGCTTTGGCAAGAACACAAAAACCCCACACAAAAGCGTGGTACGTCCTCCCAGACAGGGGTGTAGGGGGTGTCCTACTCTTGTGAGCATTTACTTTCAAATGCTCTCACTTCAGAGACTATTTTGATCGCTTACTTTAGACTAACAAATTCTCTTTTGCTACATGAACAGTTTGACAGTCAGACTACAATTCTCCTCACAGCCCCATCTAACAAGAGAGAATCTTTGGCTGGGGTCCAGCAAGAGCCTTAAATTTGTCACATCCTATTTCTGATGAATGATCTGCAGCAGTTTTAAGATCACAAAGTGCTTTGAAAGTTAAAAGAAAAATTTCACAAGTAGTAAGCTTTCACTTTCTTCATAAAGGTATTTAAACTAAAACTGCTAGTGGATTCTTTCCACTTCTGCATCTCAAAAAAACACCAAAACAATCTTTTAGCTGAGATTAAAAAAATATGAAACAGTTGCAATGCACTTGCCTAAAATGTGTCAAAAGGCTAGAACTGCATTTCCAGAAGTGCTCAAGTGCTTAAGCACTTATCATTCTTAAAAGAAACAATACAAGCTCTTTGTAATTTATGCCTCCATTTCTGGGAAGTTTCACTGTCATGAGATGCCATGGCAAATACACAAATCACAGTGTCATAAAACACTTTGATGCCTTCCTTTACACAAAGATTAAAAATATGAAAAGAGATCCAGGAAAATTGCAGTATTTGACACAGAGCTTCTATTTCAAATTATCCCCAGCATGTAACAATTCCAGTGAATGCAAGAAGACAATGCAGCAAAGGCGCTGACTCACCTTCAGAACTTACTGGTTTTACTATTGGTCAATATTTTCCCTAGAATACTTCACTTTCAAAATAAAACCATGACCTTTTTTTTCTTTTTCTGAAAGTAAGTGTGTGGGAGTTGGTGAGAAGCACTAGACTGGTAAGTTCCTATCCCTGACATACTTACACCTGACACACAACACGGATTTCTCCCTGGATAAATTCCATGTGCTGCCACTGTAAAACGCAGACTCTGCTCTTTCTATTCTGGTTTGCTGCTTCTCACTTGTGGTGGGAAGGCTCCCGGCTCAGCAGCAGCACATCCCTGCAGAGAGGAAACTCCAGGAGGCCTGCAGGGCTGAACAAGGAGCTCCTGGACAAACCAAACACGGACAGGCAGCTTCCAGAGGGTGGGAGCAGGGAAACCACACACACTGAGCTTCAACCAGCTAAGCAGAGCCCCCAGGTTCCACAGAAACCACAATCACCAGGCAAAACAACGGCTTGGTATCATCTTCTCTTATGAAATACATTTTTAACACATAATTTTCATCTTAACATTCCCAGTCACAGTTGCAGCTCTCTTGCTTCACAGTTCTCAGAACAAAGACATCCCGTTTACTTCGAGTGACTCAGTACAAAAAATCCATAAGTTTCCAAGCAAGATCTATGAACCCACCAAAGACAAGCACAAACACAGCCTTTAGATCCAACTGAATGCTGGAATTGTAAAACACACCAAAGACTTCAGGAGCCAAAAACACACAATGCTGAGCAGAGATGATCACCATTTCTAGACAGTCCAGAGGGGAAAGGACAGTGAGACCACGGTGAGCTGATGCAGGGATCATTTCCTCTCAGTTCCCACATTTCAGTGTGGTTTGGCAGAGTCCTGCCTGGATTGGAATAAAACAATGTTTGCTTTTTCAACTTCTTCAGTTGCAATGAAGTTTTTCTCTTTGTACCTCATATGAAACATCTCCCAGATGATCCTGAAGTTTCACATTTCCAAATCAAATCTTGGGATCATTGGATAAGTCAGGTTGGAAAGGACCTCAGGAGGTCTCCAGTTCAACCTCCTGTCAAAGACGGGCCAGGTGTGAGGTCAGACCAGCTTGTTGAGGCTGTGAAGCAGCCGGGTCTTGAAAAGTTCCAAGGATGGAGATGCACAAGCTCTCCGAATGCCCTGGTCTGATCCTTGACTCCTCCTGCTGAACACGTTCCCGATACTCTCTTAGGACATCTCTTCATTCAGCCTGTCACTGCACCTTGTCCTGGCACGGCTGTGGAGAGCCTGCATGTCCTCTCCCAAAGAACTCCTCCCAGGTGTGGAAGCTGCTGCTCAGTTCCCTGGAGCCTCCTCCTTCCCTGGGCCCAGCCCAGCACTCGTCTCCTCACAGCGAAGTGCTCCAGCTCACCATCCTCATGGCCCCCCACTGAACTTGTTCCAGTTTATTGACGCCTTCCCTGGAGCCCAGAACAGGTTTGTTCCTTCTGCAGTCTGTTGTCTTGCTGACTAAGGGAGAACCTTCCACAGGAAACCCTGGCACAGCTGCCCAGGGCAGTGGTGGGGTCCCCATCCCTGGGGGGATCCAAAGGACGTGCAGACACAGTGCTGGGGACATGGCCTTGGCACCGTCAGGGTTATGGTTGGACTCAGTGATCTTAAAGGTCTCTTCCAACCTAAATAGTTCTATACGACAGCAACTGGGAAATGCTGTTTTCATCCATGTCAAAAGTTATGAACCCAATAACATTTAATGCACGACTGTGAATTCCACGAGCAGCAAAGTGACTTGAATGCACAACTGTCTGCCAGGAGTTAAGGACACCAGTCAGTACCTCCCATTTCAGCAGGATGCAAGTGAACTATGAAATACATCAAAGCTTTAAATTCCAGTTGATATTCCACACTCACATGGCAAACATCCTTGGCTACTTTCTCACTTTCACTCTTGCAGCTCTCTCCCCATCCCACCAGGCTGGGGGAGCGAGTGGCTGCGTGGGGCTGAGCTGCCAGCTGGGGTTTGGAATCACAACACAGAGCAAGCTGTACCATCCCACAAGCCACACAATCCCCCACACTGGGACAGTTACAGCTTTGGAGCAATTCATTCTCCTCGAGACCAGCTCAGAAGATTGATATCAGAATTAAGAGCGTTTTAAGTATCAAGAGCATGAGACACGGACCTCAAAAACAGCTGTCTTAGTTAATCTGGCAATTGATCAAATGCGGAGAAATAGTTTTTCAGACTTGCCTGATACCTTGGTCCTTATACCCCTTTTCCACGTTTTGCTGTTGTGAACAGCAGCTGCTCCTTGCACACATTCCCTGGCTGCAGGACACAAGCCCTGAGCCACCCTGGGCTCGGGCAGAGCCCACAGCCAAGGAGCAGCAGTGAGCTCCGTGGATCTCTGGGGTGTGTGCCTGAGTGGGGATCTGCCCAGGACGTGGTACAGCTGACACTGCAGAGAACCAAACAACCTTCATTTGAAGCAAAATGACAAAATATTTGGGGAGACGCAAATCTAAGGCTTCTGAGAATAAAGGGCACCTCTTAAATATAAAAAAAACTGGTTGGGAAAAAAAAATCTCTTAAAAGATTACCCAGAGAGAATTAATAACTTCGGAATACATGAGTTGCAAAAACAAGTTTTAGAACTTTTTTTACTCCCTAAAAAGAATTTTTGAAGATTTTGCACCTAGAAGTACATACAACAAACCTAAAAACACAACTAAGTGAAACTCCCACAGAATCAGTTGGTTTATAGAACAAAATGTATACTAAATTCTCCAATTAAAAACCTGTAAAGTAGTTTCCGTGCTTTTTAACCCACCTTCCCACAGCAGGGAATTAATCCCTCCAGGGGGATGCAAACAAACTTCAAAGAGAAGATTATACCCAGACACTAGTACTGTACAATGTAATGTTTATGGTCAAATTTGTTCCGATTTTCTGGCACTAGAATCCAGGTCAGATGTGCAGACACAAAGAGCAGTTATTAAAAGGGCTCCTGCAGTTCCATCAAATAGTTGTGATGGCACAGAGCAGGAGGACAAGCCAGGACTGTACTCCAGTTACAGCTCCTACGGAGGCTCTGGCAGGACAGGACAGAGTGCAGCTATTTGACTTTTGTGGACTGTAACAAAGACAGACAGACAGGAGGGAAGGGGCTTTCCAGGCTCTAAGATAGAAGAACTCTCTCTTTTGCTTCATTGCACCATATCTGCAGCACACACGTGATCATTTCATAATTGACAAAAGAAATATTACTTCAGCATGTGCTGACTAATCATAATTATTTAATGCTGACATCCCTCCTTTTTGTAGCATTCTGGAGACTGAACTAAATTCCGGGATTTCGAATTTCAGCCTTCGCTTTTCCTGCTTACTTGATCGAGTTCCTCAGGTTACACAAGAGCACAATCAAAAATTCACAAATACACTTACATGTTGGTTTCAGCAGTTATGGCACTTCTCTAGCATAAACACAGGAATACTTGTCAAGAAAAACACTTGTATTATTATGGCAGGACAACAATGCTTGGTAAAAACAGTTAACCAAACCACAAGCTGTGTCCACGTCTTATTTCTAGATAAAGCCATTGGATCAAAGAATTCTGGGAGCAGATAAAAATACTTCTGTAGACAAGTAAGAAAGAGGAAGTAAAAATAAATTTCACATGAGATGTTTTAAGAGTATTTTTCTATTTTAATTACCCCTTTCTTAAATAAGCAGCAAATACCAACCTGAAAAAGCACTTACTTTTTCAACCTAATGAGTTATTTCTATTTTAAAAGACAAAAAAAGGGCAAAACAGTCAAAGAGAACTGAAAATTGCCCACAATGAAGGACAGAGGCAAGAATTTCTCTTTGTTAGTCCTAACTGTACAGGATTCCATAGAACCAGTGCTTAGGATATCTCTAAGAGCTAGAACAGCATAACACTAAATCTCACAAGACATGGTTCTTAACAACAGTTTCAAGCAATAAATAGGTAGAATTACAGTGCAAAACAGTACCTTTCCCCAGGCAGCTGATTCCTGAGTGGGTCACCTCTGCATACACCTCAAAGGTAGTTTCTGGGTTTTGTCTGAAAGGAAAGCAAGGCACACAGCACAGTGAGAATGTGGTTTAAGAGCAGCCACCAAGCACTCTGGAACACAAAGCAACAAGAACCAGAGGAGCCCCTGCCGGGTCCCAGCCTGGGCTGGCTCTCAGGCCTTCCTGCCACACAGGCAAGCCCAGAGCTCGGATGGCTCAGTGTGCACGGGGCAAAATACCTGTCAAAATATCCCTGTCCCTGTTAAAACCAGGCCTTGCTGGAGAACATTACAAATGCCCAAGGTCTGGCCTCCTGAGACTCCAGGGCCTTAAATCCAGGAATGTGCCAGATGCAAGGAAATAGGTGCAATAGTCAAAACCAACAGCAAACTGAGCCACAAAACACAAATAAAGCTCGAGGAAAGAGATTTACTCTTTGCGAGATTTATAAATATACCACTACTAAAAGTAAAAAGTTAATGATATTACTTCAAAACAAACAAACAAGCCATTTGGTGTGTATTTTCAGTCCTTACTAACACAACTCCATAAGTGATGCTCTGGAATTACATTTCACAATGTAATGAGGATGCAAAGGCAGCAGGTGATTATATAAGACAGAATATTTTGAGTTAGTTCCTGACTAACAATTTTAGCTACTTCAGAAATTTTTTATGAGATTAAAGAGAATCACACATTACACTGTAATTGTTTAGTTACTGAAATAAGGATTTTGCAGGTCTGAACATGTGACACTTTATTTCTAGACTTTCTGGTTAAAGTCAAGAATCAAAATTGCATAATTACTGCTCCAAATTTATGGTTGCTTGGATAGTGATAATGTTGTCTCCTATGTGTTAATGCAAACTATCTAACATTAGAAAATTGCTGAGGTATAATTAACTTGTGAATTTTGTAACTCCCTTACAGCTAAGGACGAAAATAATGACAAGACCCATAAATACATATGCTAGAATTCCTAACTGAAAGATAACCTAAAAAATTTAAACCCATCTTACCCAACATCTGAAACCAAACAGATAAACATGTCAAGGAGTTCAGCTTACTCCTCAGAGAATTTCTATTATTTTTAATCCTCCTTTAACACCAAAAGGGATTAAGGAAACATTTCTAGCCATGCCACAGGCCCACTTAGTCTAACTCAAGTGGCTCTAAGCCAAAGCCCACACCTATTTAAACCCACAGAAAAGCCCCCACTGCTTTCAGTAGCACAGGATCACACTCCTTGGTTTTACAGAGCACCTCTCAGGAGCAACAATGGTTCACAATTCAATTAACGGTAATTTAATTTGCCACCAGTTCCCAACTGATTTAAGTAGTTGTGTTTTTTTTCAGAAAACTACATTCGTAGGTTATGAGAAATCCAAAGTCAGCTGTTATTGTGCAATATAAAACAAACTTGCACAATTCTCGCTGTGCTACTCAAGTTGCTGCACGTAATCTGCTGCAAATACTGGGGTTTAGCCACATTCCAACAATCATGGCACAGGATGAGGACGGAATGATATCCCATAGCCACAGAAATTTATTCTTCCTTTCATGCACACTGCTGTGCAGCCTTATCATACCCTCCTTGTTTATGTCTTTATTTTTAGCACCCTGTTTCCTTAATTAAAATTTATGAATTTTATAATATTTTTACAGCTAATGGTTAAAATAACAAACACCCTTTTAGTATTATGTTAGAGCCCGTGTGTTAAAGCACTGTGTCACACAGCTGGCAGGAGCACAGACTATACCAAAACTTTCAGACAAAAAGACATCACATTTTGTATTTTAATTTTCCGTGACAAATGTCCATTGATTTCTAGGAACAGGGAAACCGAAGTAGCTTTGCCAAGTGAGAAACTCGGCGTTAAAGGCTGCATTCAATGGCCAACACCTCCATATGAGAATGAAACCACTGTTGGATTGTGGCTGTTTTATAACTTTGCAGGGGAATTAAGGAAACAAGTCACTGTGAGACTTCCTACAGTTTGCAAATACAGCATAAACACGATCATAATGTGCATATTCTGCAGCCCGTTTTTATGACTATTAAACTGACCTGCAGACATCCAATGCCACCTGTGCATGGCTCTGAGACCTCAACCCCTGCAATCCTCCAGAGCAGCAGAGCCTTAAACACACCCCCTGCATTTCCTCTCCTCCCCAAAATCACCTACAGACCCGCAGTCACTTACCCAGTGATACACAGATGCAGTGAAAAAGAACAAGCATAGGATATACGTACAAAAACACACAGTACCTCCCTGTTTGGGGTCTGCCTGAGATGGTCAACCCAGCACACTCAATTACTTGAGAACTGGCTAATTTCAGAAGGAAATGCAATACTTCTTTGTAAATAGAAATTTGGGAAGGAGCTGTATGAGGAAATACTGCCTCTGTGATAAATGCTACTTGTATGAATTACTTCAAATCTCTGATGCAGAAATAACTTCAGCATCAAAGGAATCAATATGAAATTCAATTTTATGTTGAAGTAATATAATATTTCAAATAAGGTATTTACGTACCTTTTACTATGAAAAATTTTAGTTTTTACCAAACTGTAAGAGATTTATGCACAATAAAATGAAACCAAGTCCTGCTCCAAAGCTGTATGATGGAAGCACATATCTCACATACCTACAGCCCATTTCAATTCTGTCAGGAGCATGTTTTTGTACTGTAATAGCACTTATGACAGAAAGTATCATTCCACTTAAAAACTGAGGCATGACAGGAGCCTGACATTGCCTGATAATCAGTTGTCTTGTAACAAGATTAGCTGCTCGACTCTTGCAGAAATAAAATTATTAGCAGAAATCTGTAATGGCTAATTCAATTCAGAAATTGCAACTGAAGCCTTGATTAATTTTCATATATTTAACTTCTTCTGCCTGGTATTCCTAGGTAGATAATCTTCCATCTGAGTATGTGGCAAGCTCTCTGTTAAATATCTGAAAGCTTTCCCAGCTGTATATGGGGTATCTCTTGTGCCATCAGGGAGACACAACCACCTCTGGCAAGGAACGTGCCCAGCGCTGTCCCGGGCTGAACAGATTGCTATTGACACCCTACTTAAAATAAATAAAGAAAGGATCCTTCCTGTGCTGGAAGGTGGAGTACAAAGGCTGCGGAGCAGTGATACAGCAGGTTAATGAGGCTGCTATCCCATAGCCCCGTATCCTGTATCCTGCCTGCCCCGCTGGCACGAGCGCTGGCACGTTCCTGTGACACTGCTACACGGATGAACCCGCTCTGTAACCCAACACTCCCTGTACCTGCTTTCTCTGTAACCCAACACTCCCTGTACCTGCTTTCTCTGTAACCCAACACTCCCTGTACCTGCTTTCTCGCCTGCAGCTATACAGAAGCCAGGAGCTCACAGGACTGCTGGCAATTCCTTGATTTCTTTCACTTCAGTCTGATGCAGCCACTGATACTTTTCTCTGAGCACTCTCTCCCTCAAATGACTCATTATTATGCACCCATCAGAAACCTCGCTGACAGACAGGCCCGGGTTTCCTGCAGAGTCTATCACAGTGTGTGCAAGGGATCCTGTGCCAAGGGGTTTAATAACCCTCACAGTTATCAATCTACTGCAAGGAGACAGAGATCTGAGCACTGCTTTTTTACTGGGGCTTCAGCACATATTGGTGACACTCCTAAAGGAGATGTCCCTCAGCACATCCAACTGTCAAACAGTTTTCTCATTCACACTCCCAACGTGCCCCAATAAGGGAGCTACTTACCAACCTTAAAATCTTCGCTGGATTAAACATCCAGCTCAGAAAAGCAAACCAAAAAAGCCTCTTACTCAGACAGGCTCTCTCATCTTTAAATACTTCAAGATTGGTTTGAAGTTTTGTCCTTACTGTAGCTGGGCACAGTGTTCTGTCCAAAATGGAAAAAAAGCAATTTATTAAGTGTAGCTCAAGGCAAAGTTGCTTAATCAATGAACGGAAAAAATGCTTTCTCACGCAGTCCAATAAGAATGAAAAGCAATGTTTATCTGGGGTTTTCACCTGTGTTTTCCTGGTGACTGGGAAAGACATGGGTTTTATCTGCAATCTCAAAAGACAAGTTCACAGTGAAAGAATTTGCACAGCAAAAGTCCTAAAGTCCACTGGCTGCACTAAATATTTCTAACAGCTACATCTCCTCCCTGACACCAGTTTCTGGTTGGAGCATCTCCCCTGCCTGATGACATTCTCATTCAGCAAAGCCTACTCAAAGGCACTGAAGTCCAACTAGTAATCACAAACCCAAAGATGGTAAACACAGCCTGTGGATTCAGTATGCACACAAAACTGCCCTGCATTTAAAGTATCAGCCTTTGAATAGATTTAAGGTAAGGTCATCCTAAAATGACCATCCTAAGTCATTTTGAACCACGAACTTGAAGTGATTCAAGCAAGGGTGACCACGGCAGGATCTGAAGGCGCAGGTTAGAGATACAGCCTGCTCTGCTGCCAAAAATACCAGCAGTCTTAGATTCTACCTGAGTTTGTCTGTAAGAGACAAACTAGTTTCTCAGGCTTTGATTTCTTTGTGGCAACAGTTGAGAATACATATGCCAATAGAGTGCAAAGCTAAAGCCCACAGTATGCCCATGGAAGGAAGGCTTTCTGGAACCAACCAATTGCCTCAGTGCCATCATTATAAACACTCATTATTCACTTACATGTTCCTAAAACACCTGGCTGAACAGACAAATGTACATGTCTATCCAGCCTGTGGGCTTGGGAACACTGAGATGTGTTATCACATAAACTATGTCCCCTCTAGTCTTGTATTCAAGTTAAACAAAAGAAGGGAAAAGTTAAAGCTCCATGTAATCTTGGAGATCCCTGTGTTCAAGAAGGAAGAACAATTGCTCAACAGCACCTGCTGAAACCGCTGAATAAACCAGAACCTAACTGGGTCTCTCCCCTCTATCATCACCCTTTCACACACAGATATGCCAGCACTCCCTGCTCGGTGATGTCTTCACTACACCTTCGCCTGTCTCAGAGGAACTGAATTTTCCTGGAATGGCATAAGACTGAACTGAGGCCTTTAACGTGACAATACCAAACATACCAATAGGGCTTACCAAGAAATTAACCACCAGGGTTTTTTTAAACTAAAAAAAAACCAAAAAACAAAAAACACTGAGAGCATGGATCTGCAGGCCCAACACATGTATCACTCATACCATCTATCACTTCTCCTTCCCCCAAACCCCTTCGCTGAGGCAGTCTGAAGGTCTCCCGGACAGACCGTGGTCCTTCCACGAGCGCACTCTGACCTGGCCAGAGAGCTGTGCTCTCCCTGGACCGCTCCACGCCCCCGGGCAGGCGTCGCCGGTGCTGGCCGCGGAGATGTTCCGAGCGCAGCACCCCCGCCCTGCCCAGGCCCGCGGCGATAACACCGCGCTCCCCGCCCGGCCCCGAGGGCGGCGGTGGCGGGGTGGGGGTGAGATAGGGCCGCTGTCGCCCTTCCCGGGGCAGGGCCGGGGGTCCCGCCGGGGTCGGGCTCTGACGGCCCGTGCTGCCCGTGCCGAGGTCCCGGGGGCCAGGAGCGCTCTGCCCCGTCCCTGCCCCGTCCCTGTCCCCCTCCTCGCCCTGCCCGGGGCCCTCGGGGTCCCGCCCGCGCGGCCTCTCCCGGAGCGCAGGGAGGGCGGGGAACTCAATCCCCTTCTCGCTCTGCCGAGGGCCCGGAGCGGGTCCGCAGAGCCGCGGGGGGCACTCACTTGATCCTGGATCCCATGGTCTCCGGGGGGCCGCATAGACCCGCGCGGGGCGAGGCAGGGGCGGGGGCCGCGGGCCGCGCTCTGTCCGCCGCTCGCCCCTCACTCCATCCCGGCCCGCGCCGCGGCGCCCCGGCCGAGTCACGGCGCGGGGGCTGCCGGGAGCTGTAGTGCTGAGGGAGCGCCCGCCCGGGCTCCGCGCCCCGCTCGCCGTGCCGGGCGGCAGGAAAACCGCAGCGGGCAGAAACTGGGGCACAGCCAGTCCCGCCCGAAGGCGGGGAAGAACCTCTTCCCTGTGCGAGTGACCGCGCGCTGGAACAGATCGCGCGGAGCGGGTGCGGAGTCTTGCCTCGCTGGGGATGTTCCAGAACCGTCTGTGCCACGTGCGCCGATGTGGCCCTGCTGGGGCAGGGAGTAGGACCGGAGAGCCGCTGTGTGCCCGTCCAGCCTGACCATCCAGGGGCTCTGTGAGCGCCGGGGACGGCGATGGCAGCGCTGGGCGCTCCCGCCCTGCCCGGAGCCGCGCTGCCCTCAGGGACGTTTAGGCGGGAGCCCCGGTCGCCTCAGGGAGGTTTAGGCGGGACGGGCCCCGCTCCCCTCAGGGCTCCTCAGCGGCTGAAGAGCGGCCCGGGGGTACCGGGACCGAGTCGTGAGAGACCCGCGGACAGGCCCTGCCAGCGTATCCCGAGCCCGGGATATCGCCTGACATCCCGGCGGATGGGGAGCGGGGCTGCCGCCTGGAAAGCCCTGTCCTGAGGGAGCCGTCCCCACGGGCACAGCACGGCCCGGGCAGGAGCAGGGCCGCGGGGCCGAGGGAATGCAGGAGCCGGAGGAGAAAGGCAGAGACAGGAGCGGTGAGCGCTGCCCTCGCAGGGCTGAGGCAGAACATTGTGCACTGATGGGCACAGAGACCAGGAAACACCTAGAGAGGATCACCAGCCCGAGAAAGGTCATAAAGGGGACTGGAGACTACTCAGAAAGTGCAGGAGAGATGGAATGCAGTCAGCTGGAAACACGGCTCGTGTTGACCCAAAAACTGCAGACAGACAGCTTTTGAGACGTGTCGTGTTGGAGTTGGCCAACAAGAGCAAACAGGTACCCAATGATTTTATTAAATATGTTTTACAGGAGGTTTTCAGTTGTACAGGAAGGTTTGGAGAATTTCTAACGCAATTTAGAAATTTCTGACTTTTTAGAGTTGGGGATGGCCTGCTGTGAGGAATGAAAGACTGGGAAATTTGGCTTGAGAAGGCCCCTAAACTGCAAATCACTGTGGGAGCCAAGTGCTTGGCTGAGGGGTCTGGTCAGCTAGAAAGATGGGAGAGAGAGAGAGGATATCCCATTTGAGATACTTTAATATCCCACTTGCTCCCCAGAGAGGCTGGGTAGGAGAAATTATACCACCCTCATTCAAGTCATAAATATAAAACATGTTAAACATTTATGCACAAAGTCCTGGAGGATTTGTTCACAGTTGCAGTAAGGCGAAGAGATGTTTGGGCAGATGAGGAGGAGTGTTTCTAGCACTCATCTGAGTGCTTGGGATGAGGTGCTTCCACCCACAGGCTCTGCCACAGGAGCTGGGTGTGAGTTCAGCCCTCAGCGCTCAGTCCTGCCGGGAGCTGTGAGGTGGCTGTCCCTGTGCCCAGTCTTGAATCACTATTTGATCAGTGCTGGTGCTCCCTGTGTCACAGAAACACCCATTTCCATGTCAGGTAGCTTTGTAGCTGAAATTACTGTGTTCAGACATGAGTATTCTAACTCTGAACCAATCAGTGCACTAGGGGTTATGCCTATCATGGTCAAATGAAGGTAAGTTTATAAAAATATTGTTAAAATTCGTTACAAAAGCAAAAAAAAAACACCCATGGTCAGTAATGAGGAAAAAAATCAGGAAGCTGGTATATACAATGCTGATGCAGTGTAAAATGACAATGTGGAAAAAACCCAACGTTTGGGGAGTGGCTAAGAAAGAGAGTTTCTTAAATTTCATCACCCTTTTTGGAAAAGGGATTGACATTCTATTTAAGACCCACAGTTTTAGTTTTGCTCTGTTCTGTTTAGTGTGCGTTTTAAGGATTTGGTAGATTTATTAATGTGAACAGATCTAGTGAATGTTTAATGTGGATGATGCAGTGTGCAAGAGTAGTGGACTGGTTTATATCTGATGGTTTTTAGACTGGACATGCTAAGGAGTAAAGTGCTGGGTGATTCAAATGAGAAATTTAAGTCCTCTCGCAGAGTAAATGAGTGCTTAACAAGTATGCATTTGCCACAGCATGGGGGAAAAATAGGGTGTAAAAATTGGATTTTGAGAACTGGATTGGATAGCGGAGGTGGTGGATGAACTGATTGTGGCTGATAACTAACAAATGCCAGGAAAAATGGCTGCAAAATGAGTGTTTGGTAACTTCATTGAAATATGTCTCGGTGAAATATCTGTTTTGTGGATCTTGTGCAGGTGTATGCCTTTCTGTAACTTCTGAGCAGGAAATGTTGCAGGCACATAGGTTATGTGATAAGCATAAGATAATCAGTGTGAAAACAAAATGATTGTGTGTTTCAAGAAGAGGATGACCTACCTCAAGCTCACAGTTAATAAAGAGGAGATTGATTACTAAAAATAAACGGGAATGTGTATGGAAATCATAAGGTTCTGTCCTTGCTGCAGAAGGCACACTAATGGGTCTGGCAACATGAGCGTTGCAAATTCCTTCTGTGGAAACTCCAGTTTAAAAGAGTGCCTAATAAAACAGGTGTGAGCTTGTAAATCTGGTAATGCAAAGGCAGAGGAAAGCAGAGAGGTGACGAGAGGATGTGTCCAGAATTTCTTCTAGTTAAAGGATAAAGCAGACTCTCAATATGGACTTTGTATGGTGCACTCCACTTTGTTTTGTATCTATGAAACAAACAAAGTCAGGTACGTTCCAGAGTTCTGAACACAGAACACGGCTTGTGCTCTCCGAATGTCAGTGATAAAATAGGATTCATTAAAAATTTCAACTAAATAGATGCTGAATATTTAAATATTTATTCAAATTTTGAAAGCTGTATCTTCTGTGCAAAAGACAGTGGGAAAACAAAAATGTTAAACGTGATGTAGATGTTCCTGTTCGAGGGAGTTTTTCCCTCTCTCTGCCTAATTTGTGTTCCAAGCTGTGGAGTGGGTTTTTCCCCTGCTTTACCTGGTGTACTTATGTAAACAAGCAGCTCCTCGGGTCCCCCAGGCCCCGTTTTCTGCCAGTGTGCTGCTGGTGCCCCTGTGTGCAGGTGGCCCCGTGTCGGGGTAATTGTGTCCCCGTGACAGGGCAATAGGGACAGCGAAGCCCCCGAGGACAGCCCAGGGTTCCAGCAGAGCCTGCTGGCCTGGCCTGGGCTGCACTGGCTCAGAATAGATGAGCTGATTAACTCTGAGTCACCCTCCCAGAAGAGATGAAGCATTAATAGCAGACAAAAGGGAAGCAGAAGGGAAACTTCAACCAGAAGAAAATAATCCAGGAATTAAAAGCTTGGTGAAAGCCTTAGGATGCTTCCAGATTGACCTGAAAGTCTTAGTTCAGTACCACAGAAATAGAGGTCTGACACTGTGCACTCCAGGAAGGATTTGGTGAGTGTGGCTGAGCCTGTGTTTTAATATGCAACACACCCACAGCAACAAATCTACATGAGAACACAGTTACTGTTTCCTCTCCTGGTGCCAACCCTTCTGGAGCATCCTGTAACCTGAGTGTACTGGGGAAATTCTCCCTGCTACATCCCAGCCAAAGGGAATGGCAGGGGAAAAATGCTGACTTCAGAGATCAATAGTAAAACTTCATCTAAAAGGTTATGCCTTGAAAGAGAATATCCTACTATACCTGACTAATATTGATTATAACGTTCATGTGCATTTTTCCTAATTTCTCACTGGGTGAATATTAGGAAAATCTCTACCAATGTTTATAAACTGGTGGAAAGCTTATTAAAGAGATTTCTTAGATGTGAAGCAGAACTTATTCCATCAGCCTCAAGTTTGTAATTCTTGTGGCTATCAAACAATAAGCCTCATGAGTTATGGATCAGGTCATTTTCGCCACTCTTCCTTTTGGTGATGTACCTATAGAAGCTTTTCTTGTTGCCCTCGATGTCTCTGGCCAGATTTAATTCTCTCAGGGCTTTAGCTTTCCTAACCTCATCCTTGGCTTTTCAGACAATTTCTCTGCATTCCTCTCAGGCTACCTGTCCTTGCTTCCAGCCTCTGTAGGCTTCCTTTAAAAAGCTAAGTAAGCAGTAAAATACCTTCCCTTTCAAGTGTTTGAAGTACCATACACTGAATGACCTTTTCACTTTCCATTCACAAAGAAATAAGAAATAACTATTCTTATTTCTGATGCCTGTGATTATACCAATAGCTATAACTCAGGCCCATGAAATCCTTTAATATAATGAGCCATGCTGGAGAGTCATTCCCCTAAAGAAAAGAGCCCCGGATGATTGACCTGAGATGACCTCTTCATTTTTTAGTGAAAGGAGATCTAAACATGGCAAACATTTCCCTTTGCTACTGTCTCTCCACAGATGACATCCTCCCCATCAGAATATCTTGTGATTAATAAGAATTGGTTATTTAATTTCACGGGGAAACCAGCAAAGTGGCCATGACAACTACTTGTTCTTTGTCTTTAACTGTGATTCTTCTGTCAGGTTTTGTTCCTCTTTACTTATTTCCATTGTTTGCATAGGAGAGAAGTAGCCAGTTCAGCATCAAGGAGTCAGTGCTTGTAGAGTGTTACGGTAAAAGACTGGGCACCCTTTGTTGGTTGTCACATGTTTGGTGCCTGCAGGCACAATTTTCATACTGTCTCCTGCCAGCATCTTCCCCATAATCCCTTTTATTCTCACCTGCTCTATCTTGTTTGCCTGTATCATTTAATCTTTTATCATTTCAGAAATTCTTCCTGTTATAAATGTCTTCAGCTTTTACCTTTGCCTTTGCCTCAGAGCGCTCTCTAGCCCAGAACGGCAGTTTTTGTCTTGAAAGCCAATATTTCAGTGTTGCCTTCAGCATGGCAACTTCAAATTTTCTTCATAAAGGGACAATTACTTACCAAAGTAAAGTTAAATTAGAACTGTATATGGTAA